ACAGTATGATAAAAAAAAATGCATTAAATCCTCAGCATCAACAGAGGTTCAAAGTGAGACAGAATCAAGCTAAATGGTACCCATAAAGAAAAGAAATAGCTAAATGGATATTAGTGAAGTCAAGATAACTACAAAATTAGCAACACAATAGCTTATAGAGTCTGCTTTTGCTAACAAAAGGCAATCATTACCACCTAGCATCCTGGTAAGAAAAGGTAGTTACATTCTGAAATGAACAAAATAGCATGGTTTCATGAAGATAACTTAAATTTTGAAGTTAAGGTACTTGAACTTGAACTTCTCAATAAAAGACTTTCTGATGACACCGTCATGCTGAAAGTGGTCTCAAGTAGAGAATAGGTGCTGACTGCATTACTCAATTTCTTATCTTCACATCAGTGACTCCAGTGGTATTCTTAAGGGAGACATTTTTGGGCTGCTTTGATGCCTTTTGATACCCTTTGGGGCACAATTGCTGGCAACACAGAACTGGCCATTGGGACACTGATCCTCTACATCTTCTGAACATCACTGCCGGTCAGAGAAGGCATGGAAAAATTTCTTGGAAAGTGGAATCTTTCCTTAGATGAAAGATTCCTTAGATGAAATCTTTCTATCCTTAGATGAAAATACCATCAAATTTTAAAATAAAAAGGGTGTCAGTTGATACCCTGCAATTTAAAGAGTTTTTGCAAATGTTTGGGTACGGAGGTGGCCTCTGAGCCCCAGAGGTCGTCAGAAAGCTTTCTGAAGCAAGATGATGCATTTGCAGTTAATGCAAATTTCTTCCAGGGAGCAGAAGCAATTAGAGCTGGTCTTGGATTCAGTGTGAAATCTCAACCCAACCAAATCTGTTCAGGTTGTTCTGTCAGCTCTTAAGTCATGAAAAGAAGTCAGTCTCAGGGAGCAGACAGTGAAATGCAGAAAAGACAATTCTTTTTGACAGGGTGCTCCATTAGCTTGCACTGAGGTCCCTGACGGGGAGAAATAGGAACCTTCCAGCTGGCAGCTCTGGAATTAGGAAACATAAGAGGTGGCAGGGAAAAATCTGCATTATGATAGCCCCAGAAAGTCTTCCTGATGACCAAAACCTGATGTACCCAACTCATATCTGTTCTAAGCAAGTCTGTCCATTGAATAGAAGCCTGTGAATGCACTTCACAAGTAGCTAGCTCTGGCTTGGTTGTTTTCAATACCATCATCAGTAGGAGACAGAAATTGTAGAATCATAGAATGTCTTGGGTTGGAAGAGACCTTAAAGATCATCTAGTTCCTACCTCCTGCCATGGACAGCATTGCCAGCTGCTAGGTCAGGCTGCCAAGTGCCCTATCCAACCTGAACGCTTCTATGGATGGGACATCCACAGATTCTCTGGGAAGCCTATGTCAGTGCCTCTCAGTCCTCCGAGCAAAGAATTTCTTCATAATGCAATGTAAATCTCTCTTTTACTTTAAGATGATTTTCTTTTGTCCTTTCACTGTCACATCATGTAAAAAAAAAATCTCCCTCTTGTTTCTAATCTTCTTTAAGTACTAGAGGGTCACAGCAAGGTTTCCCTAGGGCCTCTTCTCCAAGCTGAACAAGCCCAACTTCCTCAACCTTTCTTCACAGGAGAAGTGCTCCAGCCCTCTGATCATTCTCATGGCCCTTTTCTGGACCTGATTCAACATCACCTCATGCTTTTCATGCTGGGAGCTTCAGGCCTGGATGAAGTACTCCAAACAGGGCTTCACAACAGCAGGGTAAAAGGAGACAATTACCTCCCTCACCCTGCTGGCCAACCCCAGTTGCAAATTTATAGCACTCAAGAGCAATGTAGTACACAGACCAAAATGGAATAGTGGCAGAAGGCTCCATTCAGCTTAAAATTTTCGTAAGTCACTGAAACCAAAGGCCTTCTGTTCACCTGGTGGGAAGTCTTTTTCTCACTGATGCCATCTAGTAGGTGACTACTAATGCTTCTGGTTGAAGTAAACAGAAAGGCATCTACAAGGACAGCTCTGAAAGTAATGCCTTCTATTTCATGATGTTGGTCCCTGACATTGGAGGTGGATGTTGGTGGTATGACAGTATAGAGGCTGAACCTTCCTTACAGTAGTCCATTACATTTTCTTGCTGTGTGATAGATGGCAGCAGAGAGACTTTCTGACAAAATGGTATCTGACATGGAAGTGTATATGGAGCTTTGTGTCATTGAATTCCTTCATGTGAAAAAAATGATTCCCACTGACTCACACTGACACTTGCTGAATGGAGACCAACCAGTGGATGTGAACACGGTGAGGTGGTGGGTGATGTTGTTTTAGCAATGGTGACAGCAACTCTGGTCACCTCCGCTGAAGCAGACTTTTGTGAACATGGCATGCACGCTCTTCTTCATTGTTCACAAAAATGCATAGCTAATGGTGGTGAAGATGTTGAAAAAGTAGTGTTCTGTATCTGAGAATCTGCTCTATCAGATGGTATTAACGAGATTTTTCTAGCTGTTGTAGTTTCCGTGGAAATAAATAGAATGCATTATTTTTGGAGCAATTTACATATTTTGAGGATTGCTTTTTGTAGTTTTGCATTTAAAGTTCCTTATTGGTCTCCACAAATCAGAAGCTTCTATTCATTAGAAGTACTTAAAAATCATATTTCAGATCTGTTCAAAATAGCTTCTATTCATTAGAAGTACTTAAAAATCATATTTCAGATCTGTTCAAAATGCAGAATATTAAAGAATAGGTAAAAAGCACTGCAAAAATGGGAGATTAAGGAAGATGTGAACTATTTTATTTAGACCTGATTGCATTTTCTTAAACATAAAGAGAAGATTAAAATCAAGTAACTCAAACCTTTATGCAGTTTGTCTTTGGGCACAGGGTATAGGTAGAAGCGGTATCACTGTGTCTCTCAAGCAGCCTGGAGAGAGCCAGTGTCATTTTGTTTAAATTCAAAACATGTTCTGGCAGCACATGCCCATCTGCTAACCCTCTGGCTAAAAGTCAGGTCTGCAAAAGTAATAAAAACATGCAATTCCTGTTTTCTAGTATGATTTTCTCCCCTTCAGACACCTCAAAGAGCTTTTTGGCTGCCTGAAGTATCTAACAACACTAGAAATAGCTAACAAAGGCAAAGGGAGAGAGAAAGAAAAACAGCAGTCAAAGGGAAAAGGAGGACAAGAAAAGAAAAAGCCAGCATGTTCTTACAGGACTTTGGGTGGAAGTTGTTGCTGTTCATTTTGTTGTTGGAATTTTTATGGAGAGAGACTCTTGTGGAAAGATCTCAAGGGAAAATAAAAAAATTACTGAGGAGCTGAAAAACAGCAATACTGATTATTTTACCAGTGAGTAATTAGAAACATATTTTAAATATTCTGATATATGTTTAAATGTTTTTGTAGTTTAATGATTTTTTTAAATGTTTTATTTTTGTTGCCATGTGGAAGATGGCAGCAGGGGAGGCAGTCTGACAAAATGGTGTCTGACATGGAAATGCGTATGAAGCAAAGATGTGTCACTGAATTCCTCCGTGTGGACAAAAATGTCACCTATTGACATTCATCAATACTTGCTGAACATTGATGAAAACCAGCCTGTGGATGTGGATGGTGCATTTCAGCAGTGGTGACAACAGTGGGTCACCTCCTCTGGTGCAGATTTTTATGAGCATGGCATGCAGTATCTTGTTCATCACTGGCAAAAATACACAGCACAAGGTGATGTCCTATGTTGTATGTGTATATGTGATCATAAGTAGAAAAACTTACATGCAAAGCAGAATAATCATTCTTATTGATAATGAGCAGAGTAAATACAGGAAAAAAAAATTAAGATTAGTGTTAGAGAGTGTGGGAAGCAAAATGGCAGAGATGAAATCATAAAGGCCTTGTGAATGTCAATGTATGGATGTTAAAATGTTGAAGCAAGTGTATCTCTCTGAGGAATGAAGGTAAGTGTAAATGTACCTTATGAGGGACCTGAGATGGAGATAGTAAGACCTCCCCCCCCCCACCCCCCCATCATTTGCTCTGTAGGTGGAAACCAATCTGACTGACAATAGGATTCAAGTTCTTTGGACTATTGAAATTACAAGGATTTTGTCTTGAAACTCTGAAGATGTTTTTTGTCATCCCAGTAAGGGCCAATAAGAAACTCAGAGATAATTTTGAAGAAATAATAGAAGGAATGTATGGGAGCATGGAGGATGGCATGATTTTAACTGTGAGCTTCATTATTTTAAAAATAAAATACAAAGTGTGAAATTGTAGAGATGATAGATATTCTTTTTAATTTTTTTCAGTTTGTTTCTGAAATAATTTTTTCACCAGTTTGAACTACAGATGGGTCTCATGGGATTTGCTTTCAAACATAAGGGAGATATTCAGGCTTTCAGATTTCATTACCACTTTCCTCGTTATTGTGTGCCTTGAGGAGCTATAAATAACACATGGCTAATTTGTGAATATGACACGTTCCAGGGGATATGTGTATTTTAATCAGGGCACCTTCTGACATTTGGTAATTGGTTCACAGATTTGTTATATAATTTCATGATTATTAAGTTGCTAGGAGGAAAAAAAAATCTAAATTTGTTATCCAAAATCTGCCCTCATTGGACCCTTGTAGTATCTTTGTTTCTTGCAGGTCTAACTACAGATTTCAAGTCAGTGAAAATATAAACTATTGTTCCAGTTTGTTTGTTTTTTTTTTTCTATTTCTTATAGTTCTAGTCATATAATTAGTAGCTGTGTTCTTTATGACATACTGCTTCTAGTTAAAACTTCCTATTTGTGTGTCTATCACTAAAATGCTTGCTTTTCAGATATATTTATATTTGGTCTGGTGAAAAAAAAAATCACTTTTTGTGTTGAAAGTATGTGTTTGATGTGGGGATTATTGTTTTTAAGAACAAGTTTTGCTGGTGTTCAAATTATGATCAGTTGCCTTATATTCTGTGAAACACCCTTTGAACATCTGTACAAAGTGACTGCCCCTAAAACCATTCTATTTCACAGAATCACAGAATGGCCTGGGTTGGAAGGGACCTCAAGATCATGAATCTCCAACCCCCTTGCCACAAGCAGGGCCACCAACCTCCCGATTTAATACTACACCAGGTTCCCCAGGATCCCATCCACCCCGGCCTTGAATATCTCCAGGGATGGGGCATCCACATGGTTTCGAGCTAATGTAAGTTATTTAATCATTATGTTCCTACTGAATTTCTTTTTATGGTTTGATCTTTTGAACGGAGATGCTGTGGTGCTGAAAGGTGCATTTCTCAATGCCTGGTCATGAAGCATCAATACAACCAGGTTGTTTGTGTTATGGAAATCCATTGATTTTGGTAGAATTATTCAAACTCAGAGTCTGCAATTTGTTATTATTAATGCTGTTATCCATATTGAAAGTCTTGTCTCTGATTAGGCTGTTGTGACAGTTGCCTCCTCCAAAGGCTAAAGGGCAGATGGTGCATGAGGCTGTCTGCTCCCTGGCCTTGGCACACGAGATTCCTTGCTCCAGGGGGTGTGTTTCTCTTGTGCCAGACAGCACATTTATTTATGCAGGCTTCACAGAATATGGTTCTTGCCTTAAGAGCGAATTTACATCATTTGCAGCACAGATACACTTTCAGGTCCTTTTGCAACATAGATACTCTGTTTCTACCCACAAACAAGTCCGAAGAAATTTCATTAATATATCAGTCTGACTTTAGTTAGATAAGAAGGCATCATTTACTTATTCAAGCAAATATTGATACAATTACTTTTTATTTATTTATGGTATCTTTGAGGCTATCCAGGTAATGACTAATGCAATGATATTGTGCTGACTTTAGCTATGCAATGCTATAACAAAGAGCATTTTTTCAGTGACGTGCAGTATTGCAATTTCTCTATGTACTTAGTGTTGGCCATAAAATAGAGACTTTTCCTTGTGGTAGATTAAGGAACATCTTTGATGTTTCCATTCAAAGAATATTGCTTTCATAAGGTGTGCATTAACAAGACAGTAGTGACACATTTTCATGACAAGGTTGCTGACTGAACAGATCATTAGAAAGAAAAGGATCAAAGCTACTTCCACATGTTATATTTCAGTGAGATGTAAGTACGTCACTGACAAAAAAGCGAAAGCAGCAAACATCACGTCAGGTAAAGCCCACTCTTCTTGTCTTCCTCTCCTCCTCATTTGCTTGTAGCAAATCACAATCTATTTGCATTTTGAAAGAGGCATGTTGGAATCTGCCTGCAAGAGTTAACATAACTCTGATAAGAGATTTATGAATACAGGCTGTCCTTTGTTACTAGTGGTCATGACAAATTACAGAATCACAAAATTAAGTATTTAGTTCTTAATGGCTCTCCACTTCTGTCTGGAATTGCTTTTTATTTTTTTTCTTTCCTGTAAAGACAAGGCATGCATTTAAAACCAAATGTATTTACGAAGCACAGAAAAAATACAGGTGGTTCAGCAAAACAGAAAGCTTCTACTGTTATTTTGCAAAATATTCCTAGTGACGCTGTAGTCCCAAGCACAAAATTCCCTTCAATTTAATTAGCATGTAAACCTATGGTTCTCCTTTTCTACCTGTATCAACTGATAGGAGATCCAATGATTTCTTCTAGGTATATGCAGCGTAAAACCTAGAGCCCAAGGGCAGGGAAGCTAAATTAGCTTGTAATAGCAAAGTATTCTGCAGGCAAGAGAGGTGCTTATGTTGCGATATAGTGTCTTTTGAATATGTTGGATTGTCATTACTCACATTCATCTTTCAGTGCTGATTAGATTCTTGTATACCTGAAAGAAAGTGAGGAAGAGCTGCCCTAAGTTAAATGTTACGCAGTAGGGTTGTAAGACATGTAGCCAAAGTGTTTCCCAAACTTTCTACAGATACTCCAACATATTTGAAAATTTTGACAGAAAAGAATAGGCAAGGGCAACGATGATTGATCCATGTTTTTAAGAAAAAAATTGAAGCCATATTTCCACCAGAGGCTTTAGACGGACATTGATATATTTATCAAGAAAAAAAAAACAAACACAAGCACAGCCTTTGCATCACTAACGTTGTAGCCTGGTGCCAGAATTTACAGCTGTAATGTAAGATTCATTGCCACTCTCTTTATTTATTGGAAAAATCTCTTGCAGCTGAGCAAAGGCATAAATATAAAATTAAATCACGAAAACTACTTCGAACTAGTGCTAAAGATACTCCTTAAACTCATGGGACCAGGACAACATCAAACTAATGCTGAAACACAATTGAGACAAACGGTTTTTATTTAGCCATTTATTATGCCAAACATCACTTTACAGTCAATATGTAAAACCACAGATTATTTGAGAGTATTTGTTATGTAAGCTCAACTAGGGTATTCGAAGACAGCATGTTCAATGAAGATACTTCCATGAATTTCTGTCCTTACGACGTCTCACTTTCGTGTCTCTGTAAAATTACTTTTATAGTGTGTTTTACTAGTGTATAATGCAAGGAAACTTTATATGCTCATGAAAAATGGCTTTATAAACTACTCTAGTCTGCCAGATGATTCTTAGAGTGCATAGATATGAGTATTAATGCTTGCAATATGTTGATAATATTTATCCTTTTAGGTCAGTACAGACTTCTGAAGTATTTACAGTCTGCAAAAATAGTGTCACAAGTACAGAATAATAGTTATTGAATATTATGGGTTTATAATACATACATATTTAAATATTTCTCATAAAAAATCTTCTTAACAGTGCTAGTCTTAAGTGCTGGACAACTTCAGAGATGTGTTATTTCAATTTAGACTTAATCATAAAAATCAGTACAAATTTTATGTAAAACATGCAAACATGTCTTCTTGCTCTAGTCCTGCTTGGTGCTATATGAATGTCCTGCACATGCTCGTGTGGTTGCACCTTTTGAACAGATACCACTTGGAATCACAGGACATGTCAAAGGCAACTCTCAGAGCTGAAATCAAACTGACTGTGGGACTGTGGGGTAGGGCTCATGTGGGCAAGAGGGTCTGATTCCAAACTCATTCCTGTGTGCAAGCTCCCTTGGGAAAGCTACTAAAGATGTTGCTGCCCACCATGAGCAAAGTGAAAAGGCAAAAAACCAACTGTGTGTTCTTCAGTCTGTCAATGAGGGAACTAGGGCCAGCTAGATTTCAGGGATTTTAAAATAGAGCAAACAACTTCTTCTGTGTATGTAAATGATACTGACTTCAACTTTTTGATGCCAAGATGTAAAATTTTCTCTACCACTTTAATCATTATGTTTGAGTACTTAAATCTGCTCAGTCTTGAGACAACGGAAGAGATAGAGATCTGCCCTTTCCCAGTCATGCTTGATTTCTTAAAGCCTTATTCAAGTCCTGCTAGATGCAGGCCCCACTGAAATTGAAAGAAAATGTTTATGCTGACTTCAGTGCTTTCTTTGTCACATCTGTAATTGCCACTTTACCAAAGACCTGACTATAATTGTCCTTACAATGTCTCTATTCTTGGGATATTGTCACATCCTTGTGTTACCTTACAAACCAATGGAGGACTTCTTGCTTTCTGTCTTAATACTTCTTGCGCTAAGACATCTTATGCTTATCTGAAGCATGAAACCATTCAGTGGAAATATCTTTCAGGGATATTCTGAGCTTTCCTGGAGCATGATGTACTGTGTGCTTTATAAAGAACAGAAGAGAATATGGTATAAAATAGATGAGAGTATACATGCTAGAAAGCAAAAGAGATGTGGAGAGATGAGAGTCGTGTAGATGAGAACCTGCATGATGGTTTTGCGATCAGTAGAGGTCTCGTACCTGGCTGAATAAGAGGAAAACAGGAGAGAGCAGAGGGTAGCACTGGCAGAAATCAGAGCTAGAGATATTGCCTTGATCACTCATGGCCATGGGAGGAGACACACGGAGGATCAGAGCTACTTTCTTGCTCTAAAAACCAGGCGAAAGAGGTCAAAAGACAAAACAGCCCCAAGAGCAATTGGTGCTAATGTGCTATTTTAGATCATGATGATCCTCATTTCTTATATAGTGACTTTTCATCTCTAGATCTCATAGCTCTTTATCTCAATTTTTCAGATTGCAAAACTGATTCATTACACTAGCAGCATTAGTATAATTAGTGCTGAGTATTCTCCAAGCTTCCTCTTCTTTAATCATCTGGGCTTTGAACCTGTAAATTGGAACTAAATCCCTATTTATCAAATAGCATAGATTTTAGCATCTGCAGAGGGTAGATTTTTGTTTATGTTGCTCTATCTTAAACTCAGATATTGTTGTAGAAGCTTTGGAAATGTGTCTGTGGGAGTGTATTGAAAATAGATAGACCAAGATTTGTCTGTCTCTCTCCTTTTTTTTTCAGTTTTTTTTTTTTTTTTTTTTTTTTTTTTTGTCACATTTGATCTCTTGGACATTAAGCATTTTGGAAGGAAAGGGAAAAAAAGAGCAGTACTGTGTGTGCTTCAATGTGTAGGTGGATTGAAATGTCTGGTTTTATCTATCCGGGATGCATAACAGTTATCACACGAAGTGAAGACAAATTGTGCAACTTAAAAATGACAAGGACAACGGAAAGGCCTTTGTTCTCATCTGCTAGACTTCATGTCAAGACCTTGTGTCACCAATATTTACTTTCAGAGAAAATTGATGAGATTTACTTGGAGACACCACAGTTTATATGGCTCGGTCTCTGGTCTGCTTTCCATGCCTCTTGGATTAGCATAGGAGGTTGCCTTAGTTTTCTTTTTCCTGTTCCTAGTAAACCGACCCAAGTATCTGTGAAACCTCAGGATTCCGTAGCTTGCACCACGCTCCTCTTACCTCTACCTTCAGCTCAGTACTGAGGAGCTTCTGTTGACTCCTAATAGCAGCAAGTTCTCTAGTTTGCTTTTACTAGATCTTGGTTATATTCTGGTAATTCTTCGATTTTTTAATTTTGTTTGATATAACAACTCATTCTTTATCTACAAATGTGGAAATAAAAGCATGGATGGCTTACTGAAGACTTTCAGAAATTGCCTACCATGCTTACAATGTTATTCAGAAACTGAATCTATATAAAAGAATTAAGGAGAGAATTTCAATGGCCAGTCAGGACAAGTTGGAATTGTCTCTAATCAACAGTTGACAGAAGAAAATATATGGAAGCAATATATGAATATTCTAAAAAAAATCTAAAAGATACAAAATCTAATGTAGAATACTGTTCATTCTGTGCTCCTTGTATTACCAAAGTCTAGTTGTGATGACATATCACACCTTCATAGTAGAGGAAAGAAGTGAACCACAGCTGTGATTAAATGATGTAAGTAAGGGAAGCAAGCAACTTGCTTCATCTTAAATGGTTCAGCAGCTCTAGGAGCTGATAACTCTTACCCTTTCTTTTGGGGCTTTTTAAATTTTCCCTCCTTAAAATGCTGTGAAAGTATTTACTAATTATGACGAATAGTTTTTTCTAGTTTCAGTTTCTCCTATATAAAAATCTTTTTTTGGCACACATATCATATAAATGTCTACTTAGTTCAATGATTTACTATTGATTGCTTTCATTAAGGCTATCCTATTACTCATTTGCTTCTAACTCTGGCATGTTTTTTCTGTGTTTAAATTTTTAATGTTCCAAGCTAATATAAAGATTTCAAGGTTTTAAGGATGCGTGCTCAGACTTATTATATTGCCCTAATAACTAGCAACAGAGCATGGACAGGTGCTGACAGCTCAGATGGAGACAGTCCCAGTGAGGAGAGGGCAGGGTTCCCCCACACCTCTTTAGGTCAGCGGAGAAAACATGGGATGTACATGTGCACATAAAGAGCCCAGAGGAGAAGACCAAATCAGGGGTCTGATTCCAGGCCATCGAAAGCTGGGAAACAGATACTCTTTTTTTTTTTTAAATTTATATATAAAAAGTTTTAAAATTGGAGTTTAACAATGATTTGCTGTAGTCTTTGCTACTTTGACAAGTTGATAGCAACAGGGAGCTTACTTTCAGCTTTTTCCTGCCCCAGTCTAATCATCATTCTCTGGGAAAGTCAGTGTAATTCCGTAATTCACCAGCTCCCAGCATGTTACCCATTACGTTATTTTTTTCCATTTTTACTCAAAATGAAAAGAAACATAACAAGAGGAAACCCTGGTTCTGTCCTGAACCACTGCTTAGGTAAACAACTTGCCTGAGATCTTTAATTGTTGATCATACTGTATTGGAATACGAAACATTTCGACTGTGCCAAAACCATTTCTTTTAGTTTATTAGAGTTTGTAAGTAATTATCTGCTACACAGAAGTGGTTGAGGACCTAGAGAGTAAGGGGAAGAGATGCTGGGTTGAAACAGTGGACTGTGGAAGCTTTTCTTCTTCTTCCCACCCTTCCCCACGTGCGGACTGACTCTCTTTGATCTGGTTCCAGTGCCAAACAGGTTTCTGACAGGGTTTTGAGGGATACCTGTATCCCTTTTGAGGGATACCATTTCTGAGGGTTTCCACAGACACGGTACTGTGAATCAGCTGCTGGCCTTATCTTGTTCAGCTATGCATTTCAAATTTATTTAAACTTTATTTAAATTAGGTGATTAAGTTATTATCGTGTTTCTGTCATTTAAGTTATGCTTAGTCTTTTTCCTTTGTGTGTGAAATATGTATATATATATATGTCTATGTATATAAAGAAATATGTATTTTTAGACATGGTTCATCTTCTTTATTTAGCATTTCAATATTCTATACGTTGCGTATTTAAATTGCATTAATAAAATGTTGAAGTTTAGTTTCAGTGATATTACTGAATAGGGT